TAACCTCATGGTGGAGTACGGATCACCACCGATCTCTCAAAACTTAACCAGAAAGTTTCCCGTCCAGCCCACCCTTCACCCACACCCTTCGCAGCTGTTCGAAATGTGGACCCGAAGGCGAAGTTTTTTACAACTATGGACGCCTTATGTAGTTATTGGCAGATCGAGTTGGCCGAAGAAGACCAGCATTTGACTACATTCATCACACCATTTGGAAGATACCAGTATTGCAGAGGCCCCATGGGATTTGCCGCTACGGGTGATGCATTCTGTCAACGTGGTGACGCAGCCCTTCAAGGAGTCACGAATTGTGTCAAGGTGGTTGATGATATCTTACTCCACGACGAAGACTACTGTGCCCACCTCTCCCGGATATACGAAGTTCTCACCAGATGTCGAAAGTACGGGATTACCCTCAACGCTGACAAGTTTGTAGTCGCCGCACCATCAGTGAACTTCTGTGGGTACACTCTCAGCATCAGGCATCGCAGCTGACCCGGAGAAAGTAAGTGGAATCAGGGATTTTCCAACCCCTGCCAACCTGACAGACCTCCATTCTTTTTTGGGTCTGGTCAATCAGCTGGCTGAATTCACACCTGACATCTCCGCTGCAGCCCAGCCGTTACGCCCCCTGCTGAGCCCCAGGAGGACATTCCTGTGGACCCCAGATCATCAAGAAGCCTTCCAGCGAATCAAGCAGGCCCTCTTGAGTCCACCTGTCCTCGCCTGATACGACCCAGCCCTACCCATCGTCCTCCAGACTGACGCCTCCAGACTCTACGGCGTTGGTTACGCCCTTCTGTAGGACCATGGCGGTGGACAACTCCGCTTAATTCAGTGTGGATCCCGGTTCCTGACCGACGCTGAGACCCGATATGCCACGATTGAGCTGGAAATGTTGGCTGTTGTCTGGGCGATGGCGAAGTGCCGTTTCTACCTGATAGGACTTCAGCACTTCACCCTCTTCACGGATCATCGCCCTCTTATACCTATAATCAATCACTACTCTTTGGGTGCAGTAGAGAATCCTCGCCTTCAACGTCTGAAAGAGAAGCTCTCGCCTTATCTCTTCACGGCTGTGTGGCGTGCGGGTAAGCTGTTGTGCATCCCGGATGCCCTGTCCCACGCCCCTGTCAGTCGCCCCACCCCAGAGGACGAGATGTTGTGTTCTACAGCTGCTGCATCCCTCAAGTCAGTAGTTTCATTGAAGGCTGTCTTCACATCAGAAAAGTCTACAGCACCGGATGCAGACAAGACCCTTGAAGATCTCCGCACCGCAGCCCGGGCCGACCCTTCCTACAACCGGCTCGTCGACTGTGTCTCTCGGGGATTTCCATCTAACCGATACGACCTTCATGAATCGCTACTACCATACTGGAAAATACGCGAGGACCTCTATTGTGACGGAGACCTCGTCTTGTATGGTCCACGAGTAGTCATTCCTGCTGCCCTACGCCGCCGTACCTTGACCCACCTTCACGACAGCCATCGAGGAGTGGAGGCCACCAAGCGACGGGCGAAGCAGACTGTATTTTGGCCCGGAATCGACGCGGACATTGCAAGTACCGTCCGTGCCTGTGAACCATGCCAGATTCTGCAACCTAGCCAGCAACAGGAACCTTTAATGTGCGACGACAACCCTTCAAGACCCTTCGAGTCTGTGTCGGCCGATTTCTTTGCAGTTGCAGGGAAGTCCTTCCTCGTAATTGCCGACCGACTGTCTGGATGGCCTGTTGTCGTCCCCTGTGGTAGTGATACAACGGCTACTGCTACCATCCGGAGCTTCAGGCATTACTTCAGAAAAGTTGTTGTTCCCCTCCGCCTCAGGACTGATGGAGGACCCCAGTTCACCAGCCACGAGTTCCGGGACTTCATGGACCGTTGGGGAGTCCGTCATGTCGTGACCTCGCCCCACTACCCCCAGGCGAATGGACACGCTGAAGCCGCAGTCAAGACTGTGAAACACCTGATCCTTAAGGTGTCACCCTCAGGAAATATCGACTGCGAGGACTTCGATCGAGGTTTCTTGGAGTAACGCAACACCCCGAACTTCACCGGACGCTCCCCAGCCCAGGTCCTATACGGACATCATCTCAGGTCTTGTGTTCCTGCCCACCCGAAGTCTTTTTCTCAAGAGTGGCAGGCCAAGACTGAGGAATGTGACCGCCATGCAGCAGAACGAGCCGCAAATGTCGCTGCTCGGTACGACTGTCATGCCCGCTCCCTTCCCAGGTTGAGTATCGGCCAGCAGGTCAGGATTCAAGATCCGGTATCTCACCACTGGGACAAGGTTGGGGTTGTTATGGGTATTGGCCGGTCCAGGGACTACCAAGTGCGTCTTCCTAGTGGTAGAGTATGGTGGAGGAACCGTCGTTTCCTCCGACCTGTGGAGCTGCCGAGTGTTGACCCTTCCCCAGTTGAGTCCCCTAATGTTGATGTCTCTAAAGTAAATCCATTCCCACCTTGTGTTTCTGCCCCAGTACTCCGCAGGTCCGAGCGACTCAGAAACAAAAGGTCCGCTCAAGATGAAACTATGAGCGTATAGGGGGGAGGGAGGTGTATGATATTGACACAAAGTAGTACCTTCAGCTGTGTATTATTATATTACTCTTATATTTCTCCATTAATTATGTATAGTAAAGTATTACAGAACATGTATTAATTCTATGTAATATTCCATTTATTGTGCATCATATTATGTATATAAATTATCATATTTATACATTATGTATTCAGCTTGTGAATGCTGGCATCTGTACATCCCAGCGCGCAGTAATACATAGAGAGAGTGAAGACAGCCAGCCCTTGTGGTGGAAAACGAGCTCCTGGGTCCTTCTGTATATATCTCCCGTACGAGAATAGAACCTACTTTTAAGACAACAAGTGTTTGTGTATACCCTCAGTAGTATAGAACATTTTGTCGGTATCCAAGACACACGTCAGATACGTGACATATTATCCGCCTAACTAATAACTCTCTTGGGACACCCGTAACATTATTCAGACTGATAAACGATCTATAATAATTTCAAATTTAATAATAGTCCCTTAACTTCATGAATCGCATCATTATTAATTCGGCAAGCTACATTCAATATCGTATAGGCCTCACCAGCCAGGAATCGAACCCTCGACCTACTGGGTGGGACTAGGGAATGCTATAGACCAAGCCACAAGGACACTAAAAGCAGTCCTAGACTGTTATATTTCACACAAAGCCTGTTCATCGAGCTGATGGCGCCGTGAACCTCATTGGGAACTGCCCGTGCCTCGTATGTGGTGTCAGTAGCATTTTACCGAATCCAGCTGGTGAGGTCGTTGATTATATGTTCAAAGTCCGAGTGTTATATGGACTAAAATGAAGTATATATATGATACCTCGTGTTTCATACCAGCTGGATTCGGTAAAATGCTACTGACACCACATACGAGGCATGGGCAGTTCCCAATGAGGTTCACGGCGCCATCAGCTCGATGAACAGGCTTTGTGTGAAATATAACAGAGTCTAGGACTGCTTTTAGTGTCCTTGTGGGTTGGTCGGTAACGTTCCCTAGTCCCACGCAGTAGGTCGAGGGTTCGAGTCCTGGCTGGTGAGGTTATTGAATATATATATATATATATATATATATATATATATATATATATATATATATATATATATATATATATATATATATATATATATATATATATATATATATATATATATATATATATAAGAAAATAAGGATTCTGCAATAGGCCGGTTGGCCTGTGCATGGCAGCTCCTGTCGAGAGTTACTATCACTCTCTATCATCCATGAATCTATCTAGCCTCCTTTTAAAACTTTCCAGCGTTCCAGCACTTACTACAAAGTTGCTAAGCTTGTTCCACTCGTCCACCACCCTATTTGTGAGCCAGTTCCTTCCTATCTCCCACCTAAACTTATCCAACTTAAATCCGTTGCTGCGAGTCCTATCCTGCTCGGATATTATAAGAACTTTATCTATATCGCCTTTATTGATTCCTTTCACCCGCTTAAATACTTCTATCATATCTCCCCGCACTCTTCGTCCTCCTAGGGAATGCAAGTTTAGTTTCTAAGTCCCGGAAGCATTTTCGTCATTGTTCGCTGCACCGACTCCAGTGAATTGATATCCATTCTATAAAAAGGGCACCAGAACTGAACCACATAAAATCGAGGTGCGGCCTGACTAACGCAAGATATAGATGCAATAAGACCTCTGCACTCTTATTACTTACACTTCTAGATATAAAACCTAATACTTTGTTTGCCTTATTTCGAACATTAATGCACTGTTTTCTAGGCCGTAGGTCCGGGCTTACAAGTACCCTTAAGTCTCTTTCACAAGTCGATCTCTCTAGGTTGATATTGTTAAGGCTGTATACATTGACAGTAATTGTTCTTCCAATATTAAGTACGCTGCACTTGCTGGTGTTGAATTTCATTTGACATTTTTTTTACCACTCCTGCAGTTCATTTAAATCCTCCTGTAGTGCATTTGCATCCTGCCCTGAATTAATCTGCCGCCCTATTTTGGTGTCATCCGCAAACTTGATTATGTCACTGCTGATCCCAGTATCTCGATCGTTTATGTAGATTATGAACAAGAGTGGGCCCAGTACTGACCCCTGGGGAACCCCACTGGTTACACAGTCCCACTCAGTATTAACACCATCTACGCTGACCCTCTGTGTTCTATTGGTGAGCCATGATTTCATCCAATTTAAAACTTTCCCTTCGATACCATGAGCCTTAACTTTTCTCAGAAGCCTCGGATGTGGTACTCTGTCAAACGCTTTGCTAAAGTCTAAGTATATAACATCGTAATTTTCGTCATTATTTTTTGAACAATATATATATATATATATATATATATATATATATATATATATATATATATATATATATATATATATATATATATATATATATATATATATATATATGTGTGTGTGTGTGTGTGTGTGCTAACACTTTCCTTTGCTTTCTGCTAGACACTGTTTACTGGACAAGTGGCACCGATTCCTTCAGCAAAGGAAATTGGGCATTTCTGATGACGGCCCAACCTGTGATGCCACTCCACTGGGCACCTGAGGAGGATTCTTCCTCTGATAGCCAACATAATCATCGCTGTGCAGGTGTTTCTTCCCACGGACTCACCAAGCACTGGTGTACCCAGCGTCTGCCTTACGTTTGCCACATACTGTCATAAGACCACCATCACGCTCATCTACGAAGCACGTCAGGCATAATTTTCATAACATTATCATATGTCTGTCTGTTCACATATCGTGCTATCTATAGTGCATATACACTGCTTTCCGACTAACAGCAGATTGTGTGAATAATATCATTACAACATAAATCATATGAAAATATAATTGGTAAATTACACTTAACTAATATATGGAATGGAATAGAAAACACCTCTGTTTGCTTGTACGTGGATTTTTATGTATTTTAACTACTATCATGCCTACTAACCAGTGACTTCTGTACGGTAAGTGAAACATCTTGCTTAATTGTGATTATAATATGTATCAATATATATGTTAATGTCTCTAAAAGCTTCCCAAGAAGGAGTGAACCCTTGGATATGCCTACCATGATTGTGATGTCAACCTGCCGTATCATCCACTGACAAATAAAGTATTTTTTTTTTTATATCATCATTTAACAATTATGGTGTCAGATTCTATTCTGTAAGCCTGTCATAACGTGAGTCTAACTGTAAGATTTACCCTTCGTATGTTTATCTGAAACACAAGTAGGGTACAGTACATAAAACTCAACTTGTAGGTCAGTATTTTTTTATGCACATCACGTGAAGCTGACAAGGTTCCAATACCATATATTGCTGTAATATTTTTTCCCCTTGTAAATTTTAAGGGAAAGTTTACTTTCCAAACAACTGGAAAATTCAAACTTTAAATCTAAAAATAATTGTATTTGTTTTCAGTACTTTGTAATCAAGGGATTTCGTGTAAATTTTAATATCTTCAACTAGGTGAGTCTACTGTGGCAAACCTTTGAATAATTCACGCCATTGAATATAATGATGAGTTTTGAAATATCATCAGCACAACATTAGTCTGCTGATGATATGCAAGCTTTAGTATGTACAGTATATACAGGATGTAACACTGAGGTAGCTGACAGTGTATTAGAAATTTTTACCTACGATGATTAAAACTGTTATATTATAAGGGTAAGATTATATATGTTTATCAGATGCCCATTCTATATTGGACAACTATTGTTTGCTTGTTTTCCTTCACTTGTTGTATAACTGCTTCATCATGACCATTACTCCCTCCTTATATGAGGTTTCATACACACAATGTGCAAATAAGTTCAATGTTCACTCATTCCTCCACGCTTAAATTTCTCTGAAGTAAATATATTATGCCCATTACTTCGCTGTTGCTTGTAAGATTGTATCTTCTCTCGCGGTACACCATTATTATTCTCCATATTCATCATCTTTTACACTTCAGCATCAAGTTTTACATCTATAATAACCTCAGTCCTTTTGTGTCTCGCTCTTCAGTGACAACTCCGAATCTTGCCTAAGTACTGTATCATAAATGCATCTTTTCTTCGTTCTATAATAACTTCAGGCTCTCAAAAACCTCCCACGAATGCTTGTCTAAAAGGGAAGTATTTTCTATCCATTCTTGATATTTATGTAACCAAGCTCCAGCATTTTCCCTGTGTACTGTAGTGTCTTCATTTTAGTTTACATTCTTAGTCAATGTGCTGCCTGTGCCTGTAACATTCACCTTTAGTCAATGTGCTGCCTGTATCTGTAACATTCATCGTCAGTCAATGTGCTGCCTGTGCCGATAACATTCATCGTTAGTCAATGTGCTGCCTGTGCCTGTAACAGTCATCGTTGGTCAATGTGCTGCCTGTGCCTGTAACATTCATCGTTAGTCAATGTGCTGTCTATGCCTGTAACATTCGTTGTTACTCAATGTGCTGCCTGTACCTGTAACATTCATCATTAGTCAATGTGCTTCCTGTGCCTGCAACATTCATCATTAGTCAATGTGCTGCCTGTGCCTGTAACATTCATCGTTAGTCAATGTGCTGTCTATGCCTGTAACATTCATTGTTACTCAATGTGCTGCCTGTAACATTCATCATTAGTCAATGTGCCGCCTGTATCTGTGACATCCGTCACCCCTATCATGCTTCAATCACCCCCCACCAGCAATGGTCAAATATTATAATTTTCACTGAAAATTTTCATGATTATTTTATATAAGTATGTATACTAGTATTTGTTTCATTATGTAAACTTTTTAGAATGTATTCTTATTTTTTATACAGTTATGAAAGACTGTAAGAAGCGGGTGTGAAGTATGAAAAGAATTATAAATTATATGTTGATGAAACAAGAATGTATTGGAACATAGTTTTGGTTTTGGCGGCACTCTCGGTAGCTAGGTTGAGGAGGATAGGAGGACCAAGCTTGTGTGGTGCATATTTATCTATTATTATCTGGGCAATCATGGATAATCATGGTGTTAACTAAAGTGTAATATGTTCATTATAGTCTAAAGAATATTATAGTGGTAAGAGAGCATTGTATTTGGTGGAGATAACATTATTCTGAGTGAATTGATTTGTGGCCTTTTGTATGCACATGAACGGGAGCACATATTTATTATATTTTGTTGTTAAATATATTTTATTGTAATTTTAAAGCTGTGTTTTGTTTAAACCAATTTTAATGGGAACAATGGTATTGAAATAAACACCTGTCAGGAGATTGTTAGCCAGAAATAAGGTTAGGGTCTGTGTTTAACATTTAATCTCTCTGTTAACAGAAGCTGTTATTTCAGAGTCTCATAAGGACATAAGAATGGAGGAAACTGCAGCGGGCCTATTGACCCATACTGGGTAGTCCCATTTACACCCAACCCCTATTGCTCATATATCCATCCAACCTATGTTTGAAGCCACCCAGCGTATTCGAGTTGATGATATTTGGTAACTTGTTCCACTCGTCCACAACTCTATTTCCAAACCAATGTTTACCTATTTCGCGCCTAAATCTAAATTTGTTTAATTTAAACCATTGTTACGAGTTTGCTCCTGGTTGGATAGTTTGAGTACCTTTGTAATGTCCCCTTTGTTGAGCCCTGACTTCCATTTATACACCTCTATCATATCGCCCCTCACTCTACGTCTCTCGAGGGAGTGCAAATTAAGATGCTCTAACCTGTCTCTGTACTCAAGGTTCCTAATGTCATTCTCCTCCGAATTCTTTCCAAGAATTCTATATCCATTCTGTAATACGGTGACCAGAATTGAACTGCATAATCCAAGTGAGGTTCTTACAAGCGCAAGATATAGTTTTAGGATGACCTCGCTAGTCTTGTAACTAACACTCCTTTGTATGAACCCAAGTACTTTATTAGCCTTGTTTCGAGCAAATACACATTGTTTACTTGGCATAAGATTCCTACTTATCATTACTCCTCAGTCTTTCTCGCAGTCGGATTTCTCAATAACATCGTTGTTCATCTGGTATCTGGTTTCCTTGTTTACATCTCCTATATTGAGTACTTTACATTTGTCCACATTGAATTTCATCTGCCATTTTTCAGACCTTTGGAATATTTTTTTAGATCTTCCTGTAGTTTTGCGGAGTCCTCATCAGATTTAATTACGCGCCCTATTTTAGCGTCATCAGCAAATTGACTTATGTTACTGTCTACACCGATATCTATGTCGCTTATGTATATAATAAATATTAATGGTCCAAGTACTGAGCCTTGGGGAACTCCACTAGTGACGTTGCTCCAATCGAATTTAGTGCCTTTAATGCCATGAGCCTCCACTTTTCTTATTAGCCTTACGTGGGGGACTCTGTCGAAGGCTTTGCTAAAGTCGAGATATACCACATCATAATTGTGCCCCTCGTCCACTGATTCGAAAACAAATGAAAATGTTAATTGATTAGTTAGACATGAGCTCCTGCCTATGAAGCCATGTTGGGAATCATTGATCAACCTGTCCTTCTCCAGGTGATTTCGAATAGAGTTGGAAATGATTGCTTCCAGTAATTTGCCTACAATTGATGCTAGACTGATTGAACGGTAGTTAGAGGATAGTGATCTATCTCCCTTCTTGAAAATCGGTAATACATTCGCTATCCTCCAGGATTCTGGTACTACACCTGTTTTTAAGGACATGTTAAACAACATTGCTAAGGGCATACTAAACTCTTCCTTACATTCCTTTAATACTCTGACAAATATCTCATTGGGACCTGGTGACTTATTAGGCTTTAGTTTGTCTATTTCCTTACCAACATCGTTACTAGTCACTACTATCTCGCTTAATCTATTTTCTTCACTATCTCTGTATAGAGTCGGTGCCTCGGGTATCATGTTTCAATTGTCGGTGGTGAAAACTGTTGAAAAATATTTATTCAGACTTTTGCTCATTTCTTTGTCGTTATCAGTTAGCTCGCCGGTATCTGACTGTATTGGTCCAATCTTTTCTCGTGTTTTCGTTTGATACATTTGATAGAATCGTTTGAGGTTTGACATCGCCTCCCTTGCTACCTCCAGTTCATTATTCCTCTTTACTTTTCTTATCTCGGACTTAAACCCTACCGGCCAATACCTTATAATAATCACGGAGGTAAAGTTCACCTCGATTAATTCTCCTACCTATAGCCTTCCTTTGTCCAATAATATTCTTTAAATAATTGTTTATCCATTTAGGGCCATTGTTGTCTCCTCTGATATAGTGGGTCTATGGGCTGACTTTACATCCTCAAGCGAGTCCAAGAGGGTGTGAAGGTTGTAACATGGGGGCCTGTGTCCAGGAGTGGATTCAGTTAAGTATACTGATTGTCCCAGTGTAACCAAGTGTTTGAAGGTTAGTTACTGTGCTCCCGTGTGGTGTGCTGGTGAATATTTCTGTAAACAAGTGAGTGTTAATACTTATATAAAAATTGTGAGGTTTGGTGATCACTGAAAAAATTGGAAACATGGCAGGAAATGTTGATAAATTTCAGGAAACCAATGATGCTCACTTTTTGTACCAGTGTAATAAGGAGGAACTAATTGAGGTGGCATCTAGATATGAAATTTCTCTGAGGTCATATATCAAGAGTGATATGCAAAGAGAGTTAATTGATGAATTGGTGTCTGTCATTATTGGAGGAAGTTGAAGGTGTTGGTAATTTCAGTGGTGTTTATTAACAGATAAGTGAAAGAGTGGCAATGGAAAAGTTAAAATTAGAATTTGAATTTAAGAAAATGCACTTACAGGCAGAAAAGGGGAAGATACAGGCAGATAAAGAGGTAGAACTCAGGAAATTAGAAGTACAGGAGAGGACAGGTATAAGGAGAGGAAATTGAGATAAAGATAATAGAGTATGTCATTTACCCGAGTTTGTGGAAGAAGAAACCGAGGACTTCTTTATTCAGTTTGAAAAAGTTGCAACTATTAAAGAATGGGACAAAAGTGACTGGGCAATATTGTTGCAGAGTAAATTTAAGGGTAAGGCCAGAGAGGCGTATGTGTCTCTGAGTGTGTCAGAGTCTGTGGATTATGGGACTGTTAAAGAAGCAGTGTTGAAGACGGTGGAAATGGATCCAGAAGTGAACAGGAGAAGGTTTAGGGACATTAAGAAAATGAGTGGACAAACTCATCTTGAAGTGGCTAGAGAATGTGGGATGAGATTTGATAGATGGTGTAAGTCTGAGGAAGTAAAGACTGTGGATAACATAAGACAGTTAGTCCTGTTGGAACATTTTAAAAGTCTTGTGCTCCCTGAGATTAAGTATGAAATAAGTAAGAATAGAGTGAAGAATTTGATGAATGCGGCTAGATTGGCTGACCAGTTAGCAATGGCACCCAAAATGTATAAGGAGGAGGTGTCACATAAACAAGGTGGAGTAAGGCATAGTAGAAGCCAGAATTATGACCGAAATCATAAGTATCAGAACTATTCAAATGTTAAGCAGCCTAGTCCAAATTTTTCTAAAGGAGGTCCACCTAACCAGGTGTCACAAAATACTGTAGGGAATAGATCACAAAGACAAACACAATATAAACATCCAAGACCTCAGTCCAATTATAACCCTTGTGTTAGTAGACAGGAGAAACCACCAATAAAATGTTTTGCATGTGGAGAAATTGGCCATGCTAAATATCAGTGTCAGAGTGGCCCAAAGTCTGCGGCATTAACTGTTGCGGGAAGGCTGTGGAATATTTGTAATGTAAGAGGTAACGAGTACAGTGTGAGTAAGCCAAAATCTGTGAATTTTGAGCTATTTATTACTGAAGGAAAGGTTGGGATTAAAGGTAGTCTTGAAAAGAAAATTATAATATTGAGAGATACTGGAGCAAATCAGAGTGTGATTTAAAAAATGTATTAGATGGGACAGATGAGTCTTTCTCTGGTGAGGAAGTGAATTTAAGAAGATTGGGGTCAGGGATGACTGTCCCATTACATAATGTAAATCTTGAGAGTGGATTTGTGAGTGGCATTGTAAAAGTTGGGGTAAGTGTTGAACTTCTCGTACCTGGAGTACAGATGTTATTGGGTAATGATTTGGCTGGTGACAAGGTGGTCCCAGAGCCTATTATGTGTGAAAATCCATTTGATGAAGAGGCTACTGTAGAGGTGAACCATGCTGTGAAAAATTAAGATGTGTTGGATGATTCAAAGAAGTGTAAACCTGATGGTGATATACAGTATAATGAAATTGTGTACCCAGTTTGTGTTGTGACCAGGGCAATGTCAAAGAGAATAGAAGAGTTTGATGATGATTTGGGAATAAGTGATATATTTGGTAAAGATGATGTTATGACAACAGATAATACAGTAGAGTTGAAAAATAATCAGTTGGAAAATAATACTGTAGAAGCCAAAATTGATGTACTACCAGATTTTGTTGTGGACAAGGAGGAATTAGTAAGGTTACAGAACAGCGATGAGAGTTTGAGGGAATGTTGGAGTGAAGCTAAGAGAAATGAGGGTGAGAGTGATGTATCAATTGGGTTTTATGTAAAAAGTGGTGTGGTAATGAGAAAGTGGAGGCCTGCTGATGTTCCAGCATCGGATCATTGGGAGGTTAGGAAGCAGATTGTTATTTCAAAGGAATATAGGGAACATGTTATTGCTTTATCCCATGATTCTTGTTTGTCTGGACATTTGGGAGTCAGAACATAAGAACATAAGAATGGAGGAAACTGCAGCGGGCCTATTGACCCAAACTGGGCAGTCCCGTTTATACCCAACCCCTATTGCTCATATAAGCATCCAACCTATGTTTGAAGCTATCAAGCGTATTCGAGTTAATGATGACATTTGGTAACTTGTTCCATTCATCCACTATTCTGTTTCCAAATCAGTGTTTACCTATTTCACGCCGAAATCTAAATTTGTCTAATTTAAAACCATTGTTACGAGTTCGCTCCTGGTTGGATAGTTTGAGTACCTTTGTAATGTCCCCTTTGTTTAACCCTGACTTCCATTTATACACCTCTATCATGTCGCCCCTCACTCTACGTCTCTCGAGGGAGTGCAAATTAAGATGCCTTAACCTGTCTCTGTATTCAAGGTTCCTAATGCCCGGGATTAGTCTTGCTAATGCCCGGGATTAGTCAGGAAGACAACTGACAGGCTACTAACTCATTTTTATTGGCCTAATATAAAGAAAATGTATCTGAATACTGT